ATAATTGTTATTATTATTATCATTATTATTGATATTATCATTATTGTTATCATTAACAAATTATTATCATTATTATTACTATTATTATTAAAATTATTATTATTATTATTACTTTTGTTATTATTATCATTAACAAATTATTATTAACTAGATATGAGCGATCGATTATTTATCTCTATCGCATTTTGTGTTACGTGTACATATGTGTATATGAGTATGTACGTACTGTACCATTGTACATCATATTTATTGGTTCGATGCAGTACATATTAAAATAAAAACATCGCCTACTTTGATAAACAAGTCATTGCCCTGTATCACGTGACACACCGGCATGGGTCACGTGACCTAGAGACGGCTCGTCACGTCGTCTGTAGTCTCTGTAGACACAAAGCTGCCCATGTCTGAAAAAAGTGCCCGTCAGACCTTTAAGCCAAGTACCTCCAACTGCGAGGCAGCTTCATTCCTTAAAATATTCTTATTTTAAAAATTTTATTTTCCCGGATTTGTTCCCAATTCATATTTCTAAGATTTTCAAGCAATTCTGGCGGATTTTCCAATTTACAGTTGGGATATCTGTGTGCCCGTCTATGTGTGTCTGAGAAGGGTAGTTCCGTGTCTGGCCGCCAGATGTCAACCCTGTAGATTAAAGTAAAAACATCTATCCCACTCTTTACACAGTAAACTCTAGTGAAAATATGGCGGGTCAGGTACCCGTGGTCCCCATGGATCGAGGGAACAACACAACCTGCACCATCAACCTACACGGGGCCACCATCGTCTCTTGGCGGGTCAACAACCAGGTGATCGGCGATTTAGACGATTAAAACGCCGAATTACGTGCGTACAGCCGGTTTTAGTGCATCGAGAACCTCGTAAAATTTTATTAGCAATTATATTGCACTTTTGCGTCATGCGGTCAGGATTTAACATTGAATATTTGCAAACGTTTCTAGGGGTAGATTTCAGATTCAGTTCTGTGCAATGCATAGTGGTAATTAAGTGTTGCAATAATTTGGAAAGTACGATTGCTCGAGAGTTACGTTCTCTAGGAATATATTTGTGATAAAAGGGTTGAATACAGCTTAATGTGTGTGATTATAGTTTCTTTGCAGTGCAAAGTTTAGCCAACATAAATAGTGTTTTGGTTAAAATGAAAAATGTTTTTAAATGTACGTTATTTACATTTGAGGAAATTTCTCAATTTCTACCCCCTACCCCTTAGTCAAATTTGCACACTTCAGAACAGTGTTTTTTTTTTGCATTTAACACAACATTAATGTTTTTTTTGCATCGCTTGGTCCAAAGTCTGTTCAAAGTCTTGGTGCTTTGTCATGCTTTGATTATTTGAAAATGATCTATATTTTGGAATTTAAACCAAAAAAGGAAAAAACAAGAATTTTTCTTCATAAATTGGTAATTTCCTAGAGAACGATTTTTGGATGACCTAGATTGGATCCAGTTTTTCTAGTGCGGATCCAGGATCCGGATCCGGATCAAAATTAAATGGATCCTTAGCACGGAATCAGAGTATGTGTATTTATTTTTCTCTAATTCCAGGAGCAACTGTTTGTGAGTAAAAAATCAGTTTTTGACGGAAGAAAGCCTATTCGAGGAGGTAAATATTTTGGGCGCAATCAGGAGCATTTGTGTAAGGGGGGGGGGAAACTTTTGTGCCCCCCTTGCCAACATTGTGCCCCCCCTTAAAACCCCTTTTTTGAGAAAATATTGATTCCTTGTTTTACTATGTAGACTATTCTATCATATACACACTTCCGTATAACAAGTGTTAATAAATTATTAAATTTCTTAAGTGGACTAATACTGTGATGCAAGCTTTAAAAATAGAAAAAAACTAAATTTTCATAGATATGATAAACATTGTAAAATTATAAATAATGATATCAAAGATTTATTTACGCTGAAGGCAGTATTGATTCAAGCGTTTTTTAATGAAACTTTTTTAGTCGAGGGAAAAAGTGAGATTTTAAAGTATTTTTTATATGGGTGTCCCCCCCCTCGTACGCCCCTGGGCGCAATTGGATTGTTTTAGAGGGGGGGGGGGTGCAGGGCGGGTAGCATGGATATTGATATTTATAATTTTGGAAAGGAATAAGCAAATAACAGTTAATAATCTTAAAGTGAATGTATACATTTTTATTCAAAAAAATGTTCTTTTCTTTTAATAAAACTAATTTTTAACGGTCTGCAATGTATTTAAATTTTATTTTTTTGTAAATTAAATCTTACAATTACACAATTCAAGAAATATAATTGTTGAAAATGTTATTTCCAATGTTGAAATGAAGATACAAAATATTAACACACATATTTTAAATCTTCAATTTAGTAATATGTATTTAATGGGACTTATTTTAGTAATCTTCGATTTATAGAGTGGCATGTATGATTCACAACTGGACTAACCTTTGTCATCATCGATCTCGAAGAAAATCCTTGTTTGTCTCGCTGAAAATTAAAGCCTTTCTTTGAATTACGTCAAAAATTTCCCAACCCATAATTCATTCAGTTCCGAATAATTTCATATAATTAACGCGGTTTTAAAAATTACATACAAAGGAATTGAGTCTTTGACCCAAACTCTGATTTTCTATTTTCTAAGTCTGAAATGTCAGGTTGCAGAGATATATGGGATTAGAAAATTTCACTTTGTGGCAAAGTCTTAATTCCTTTATCAGGCGTAACGTTTCTAAAGAGGCGTATATGCCAAATTCTACATTTGAAAATTCTGGATTCAAATCGTCAATTTGGTCGAAATCACGACTTGTTTTTACTTTAGGTATTCCGTTTGTTTTCCCCCAGTTTGGAGACTGGATGTATGGACCCAATGGACCACCTAACAATGGTTTTGCAAGAATCTCAAGATGGCAGTTAGAGAAGGTATGTACAGGGTTACCCACTAAGAATGAGATTGTTTAAACGACCTGAAAACGATCCCAAGGATAAGTTTTCTGTATTGATCAAAGTTTTTTATAAATTCCGTACAGTCGTCCCTCAAGTCTAGTCCTTCGTTGGGAACCCTTCCTGTTCCGTTGGGCTGTTTAAACACTTTCTGTCTCGTGAATCATTTGATCTCCATATACCCCTAAAAAATAAAGTTATTTATAAACAATATAAATATAAAATTCTTTCCTTTTGGAAACTTACTAGATTGCAATAAATCTGCTTCATTTTCTCTCTTTTCGTTTGTGGGACCTCACATGACCCCAGGGAAGGTTTATGTATGAATGGATTAATGGATCAAGATTACGATTTAAGTCCAAAAGTTCTTGATCTTTGTAAAATATTGAAAATGCGCGTACAAATTTCATGATATCCGCGAACTTTTTGTTGTTATTGTTTAAATTGAATTCATTTTCTCTCTTTTCGTTTTACAAATATTTTAACTTATGTTTCAGTAATAACTTAAAAAAGATAATAATATTGAGATTTGAAAAAATTGCAAAAATCAAATTAAGTTGCCTTGTCAATTTAAATAAAAAAGAAAAACTTAGTTCATGTAGTAGCCAAATGAAATTAATTATCAGACACCCCTAATTGAAATGATTAATTGGATTATCGTGAATCCGACAAAAAGAGCAATTAAAATGCCTAAATGTGAAATTTTTAAATTTCAAAACATATTTTAGATTATTTTTTCCAGGGACCAGAGAGACTTCCCACAGGAGATATTGAAGCCATATTTTCACTCAGAGACAGCGATTTTTCTTTTTCAATGGTAAATCATTTCTACAAATTAGGTTTTGAATTTTGAAAAGTCATCCAGTTTTGCAAGATGAAACGTCTCTCTCAAATACCATATCTTTTTGCTTTTCCTCAAGCTGTCTTTCCGTTGTTAAGAAATGCCTAGTCATAAAGATAAAAGATATCAAATGCATATTATTGTTATGAAATGTTTTTTTTGTGACCACTCAACAAAAGCCAAGGTGATTTTCGTAATTTTTTAGATCATTTTTAATTCATAAAAAAGTAATAAATAAATAAATGGAGGCACCAAGTAACCATGAATCCGTTTTGTAAAAAAGGGTTTGGCGCGCAGAAATATACACACCTGGTTTTTATGGAAAGTACGAACAGTGATTACTGGAAAACAATGGATTTTTTAGGAAGATATGACTACATAGCAATACTTAGGTGTATTTGATGTTAGAACAAAAATAATAGTTATACTAGACACTTATTAAATCACTAATTTAATTAAATAGGCCTGTTAACACTGCACAATTGCTGTGTCTCATGCTCATTTGACTTTTTAAAGTTATAACCAGGGGTCAATATAATTCCTTTTTCAATCCCATTTGGGATTGACAAATTTGAAAGAAATGGGGGCAAAGTCTTTTATTTGGGGCAAATTTTTTTTAAATGATAATTTAAAAAAAAAATTGGGGGCATTTTTTTCAAATTGGGGCAATTGGGGCAAATGTGTAAGTGGAATTTGAAAAAAAAATTTAACTGTGGGCATTTTTTTTAAAATTGGGGGCATTTTTTTCAAATTGGGGGCAATGGGGGCAAATGTTTTAGTGGAATTTGAAAAAAAAAAAATAACTGGGCCATTTTTTTTTAAGGGGGTATTTTTTTCAAATTGGGGGCAATGGGGGCAAATGTGTTAGTGGAATTTGAAAAAAAAAAATTAACTGGGGGCATTTGTTTTAATAATTGGGGGCAAAAAATTATTTTGGGATCGAGAAAATCAGCTTTTTTGGGAATTATATTGACCCCTGGTTATAACTTGATTCTAAAAGTTGTCTTCTTATTTCAGAGTTTACCGGTAATCACTGTACTAACGTTTTTTTTATTTTAACTCCTGATTGTTTAGTGGCAACATCATTTCCGGATTTCCTATAGAATTATTCTACGAGAGAAGGAACTCCATTTAAATGTTGGAGTATACAACCCCAGCAAGGAGGCTCCATTCGACTTCAACCTTCTTCTCCATTCATACTTTAAGTGTCCAGATGTCAGGTACCTTATTTTAAAATTCATGAAAGAAAAATAGTTTTAAAAATATTTATAAACTAAAGAATCTTTATAATCAGAGCTGGGAACTTTAGTGTTGTGGATATCGAGATCATGTTAATCTGCAGATTAATTTAATCAGAATTTGATATCCGCACTGCAATTGTACCCTGACGGGATAAATGAAATGAAGGATTACGCATTGATTATCAAATTAAAAGTGCCCAATGTGTATATCAAGATCAAGCTATCGGGATTCTGAGTATCCAGCACATAAGTTCCCAGCTCAGCTCTGTTTCACATACATCAAAGATTTCTGTCCGTCTCCATCAATTGTTATATATTTGTAAATGTTGACAAAACTTCAGAACAGTTTTCGACAGTTTTTGACTATTGTTGACATCTTTTGACTAACTAAAGGTTGCATTATCAAAGTTGTTCAACTTTATTTCTTCTTCCTTCTTTTTCATTTTGTGCAAAATATATTTCCAAATATCACGTGACGTAATATTTTTTTTATCTTTATACTTTGCAAGCTGTCTGTCTTCAATAACGTCAAAACGGCTGAACCGATCGGGACCAAAATTTGTGTGGGACCTATGGATTAATGGATTTGTGTCCAAAAGTTCTTGATCTTTGTAAAATATTAAAAATGCGCGTACAAATTTCATGAAATCCGCAAACTTTTTGTTGCTCTTGTTCATATTGAACACAGAAAAAAATTTCGCGGGTTTTATAAAAAAATGGTGGAATTTTAAAGTTTTCAAAAATCGAATTTAATTAGAGTCAAATTTTTGAAAATTCGATCATCCATAAACCTTCCCTGGGGTCACGCGAGGTCCCACAAAAAGTTTGGACGCTTCAAGTTCATCCGTTTTGACGTTTATTGGATACTAACAGACAGACAAGCAAAGTATATATATAGATAAATGCAAAGGGACTGTAAGCCTGACTTATAGTGACCCTTCATGCAAAGATGGTATGACAACGCCCGATTTACTTTGTTCAATCAATTTTGTAGAAGCTAATGTCGATTTTCTAGGCTTGAAATTATCTTTTTTCCTGTAGCAGAAATGAAGTTACTTTTGTTGTGAAACCACAATTAAAAATAATCAGTTTTCAAAATTTCAGACATACCTATTACAGCTAATTCATACTTATTAGACAAAGCTTTTAACTGCAGTGCTTAGGATCCGGATCCGTTGGATCCGCTAGATATTGGCTTCATGGATCCGGATCCATTGGGTAAAATATCATCCAAAAACCGAAAAAAAAAAACTTTTTTACTCCTGAAACTCAAATCTGAACTTTTGTTAAAAAAATTCAGTAAATCTTAAAGAAATGACCTGGATCTGGATCCATTTTTTCCAGTGCGGATCCAGGATCCGGATCCGGATCCGCATCAAAATTAAATGGATCCTTAGCACTGCTTTGAAGGATACCGTTGTGGATCGGGCATTGGGATTTGTGGCATGTGCAGGGTCACTTTAATTACGCTTACAGTCCCCCTGGGTTTAATGTTTATGATATTTTAAATAGAAAGATGGTTAATGGTTATTTATATAAATAAAAACTTTGAAATCTTGAAAAATATTTCAAATCAGATTTGATTTGACTAGTTCTGAAATATCAATAACAAGATATCTTGAGAGAAAATAACAAGCTTTTAACATTTAATGAAAAAAATGTAGAAAATGGAAATGCCGATTTTAGTGAAAACGAGAAGAACATGAAATCATTTTTCTCTTCTAGACGGTGTCAGGTGACCGGCCTTAATGGAGTAACCTTCCTTGACAGAACTAGGATGGTGGCAGACCCCCCGGGTTCACCGCCCCAAGCACCAGCTTACCAGGTAGTTCAGGGGTGTATATTTTCTTGAAAAATCATTCCTCTTGAAAAGAATTTTTTCCCCAGTAGTTCGGTTAACATTTTTGAAGAAATCAATAGAGGAAACAAATATATTTTTTTGTGGGAAACAAATATTTGTGTAATAAGTATAAAAAAGGATAAACAAACTTTTAAGTCCAATTTTTTATTTTTCTCCGAGATCTTCAAGTCATTCCAGGACCCCACCCCCCCTGGGATTTCTACCCCTGCCTCTAGGTTTTAAAAATTGCATTAGAAATATTTCCATCCAGAAGAACATTAGTTTAGCCGGTTTTATCGCTAACAGTTCCTTTAATTGGAAAATAAATGGATTTTCTTGAAAAAAACATCTAACCTACTTGTTGAGGTCGAATTTTTTTTTATTTTCCTAAGACGCTCAAGTCTTTGGAATGGGAGCGGATCAGAGTATGTGTATTTATTTT